ATTGATTGTTTCTGTGTGTGTTTTTTCCCTCCTGAGTTACCTCTTTGTTCTTGTCTCCCCTCCCGCCGACGCTGCTGGCGTGCGGGGTCGAGGGCCGCATCCGCTCGGTGATCCAGAGGCCCGCAGCTCGAAGCTCGAAGGCGGAGGAAGGTGGGGGAGGTGGAGGAGGAGGAGGAGGAGGAGGAGGAGGTGATGAAGGTGGAGGAGGAGGTGGAGGTGGTGGAGGAGAAGGAGGAGGAGGAAGAGGATAAGGAGGGGGAGCATGAGGAGCGAGAGGGTCCGGGGAGGGCGGAGGAGGGGAACGGTGCTGATCGACCGGAGCAAAGCACCAATCCTAGAATGTGAGCAACCCTGCATTGGAAACGACGTTTTTGAAGGACCGCGGACGTTCCACTAAAAAACGCATATGAAGGATTTACACACTGGACGATGAACGAAGTCCTCTGCATAGAAGAAGCAGTGTGCGAGAGGAGGCAGCAAGCCAACACAGTGTCAGGAGAGGGGGGTTAGAGAGTGACAGACTGAGGGAGGAGAGACTCATACTCACATCTTATGGCTGTGGAGTTGGAGGATCGGGGGGGGGAGAAGAGCAAGGGGGGGGGCTGGGCAACTCGATGCTTCCTGACCGCCGTCTTCTCTCCTCCTGCTCCTCCTCATCATCATCACGGCACGCTTCCTTTTCGTCCTCCCTCCCACATCATGCTGCTTGTCTTCATCGCTCGGGCCATGCATCCCAAAGATCCGATGTTGTGAGTATCGCGCTCAGCGGGAGAGGAGCCACGACTAGAGCTTTCGGCCTGATCTGATAGTTGCCACGCCATATCACGGGCAAGATACGGCCGCATGGGCCCCGAGGACCCGAGACGCACACCCTCACGCTGTTGTTGGCGCGCACACGGGGGCTGTGCCAAGGGGGTGGCCTTCTAAAAAGTCCTAGAAAACATGGGCCTTGAGGCCCAGACGATTCTAAGGCTTTTTACGTAGAAGCCAGGGGGGGCTTCTTAGAAACTTCCCCACTTTGTCTGACATCTCCCGCCTTCTCCTCAGAAAGCCGTCTCCCTCGCGGCGCACCATCGAGCGCGCCGGTACCAACCACTGGTCCCCAGAGGTCTCTGGAGGTGGTCCCCAGAGGTGCCCGAAGATTTCTGGAGGTCCTCAGAGGCCTCCAGCTTCAAGCTTCTAGCTCACATGCTGTGTCCTCGATGGAGAACAGCGCACGCAAGAAGGCACGCCCAACCACAGGGAAAGTGCGACACCGGAAGAGTGGCAGCCGTGGTGAAAACAGAAGCTGGGCGCGCGGGGGGAGGCGCCACGCGCGCGGGCGGCAGGGTCCTGCTCACCCTCCTCATCTCCCTCCTCCTCCTCCTCCTCCTCCTTCTCCTCGATCCTCGATTCACGACCCTCGATCATCGATCATCGAAGCGGGGCGACACGTGGCAGGGGGAAGCGCCACATGGGGTAGGCATCCGGAAGCCTGGAGCAGGAGGGGAGGCCAGACGCGCTTCAAACCACCATGGCAGCCTGCCGCTGGGTGCCATTTGAATCTCGAACCCTCCCTCCCCACTCCCCGAACCTCCCCCCCCGAACGAACCACCGCCCCGCTGAAAGACGGAAGCTCTGCCTGCTCATCACCTCGCGGAGGTCTGCGTGGAGTTCTCGGGTCGGCGCTCCCTCTCCCTGGCGAGCAGGGGCGGAGCTGGCTGCGCCGCCCGGGGGGCACACCACCGCGCAGACCTCCGAACGTGCACGGTTTGTTGGACGAGAGCGATGTCATGACAGGATTGGCACGTCATGCGCCGGATCGCGCACCGAGAAACAGGGCGACAGAGGCGCAAAATGCCCCGCCTCGCACGGGCGACCCCCCGGCAAAGCCATGTAAAAGAACGCCCCGAGGCGCGGACGCGAATCCGCCGATAGACGACAACAGAACCTGTTGCGTCGCAGCGCCCCCCAAATCCGGCCTTGCAGGATCCTGCAGGATCCGGCGCCCTGGCTGAACCTCGTTTGCAGTGACCCCCGTCTCCTAACCCCCGAACATGATGCGCTCCAGGATTTCCAAGAAGTACCTCTTGGCCCTCGTATCTGCAGCCCGTTTGGCACTTCCGGGCATCTCAGACGTCTTGGGAATCCTGCAAGCTATGGAGCGTCATGTGGCAATTCGCGGGAGCCTTCAATGTCACCGTGCCGTCTCTTGCGAATCGACGCTGACCGATGCTAGTCGACGTCAGTCGACGCTAAATCGACGCTAAATTGATGGTGCCTCGTCGATTACGCAACGCTGGCGCACGCGAGTGCACTCTAACCACGGAACTGCGAAGGCCTGCAAGGCTTCCGTGTCGTGCTACCAGGAGGAGCACAGCACTATCGTGACTTGTTGCTCCTCTCGGCGGCGAGCGAGAGGGGGAAGCGAGACGGCCTCCTCAGAAGGTGGCGGGGCTTCTCGGAAGCCATCTCGCCTTCTGAGAAGCCTGTTTCGGGGGCGCGCAAGCATGGATTAGCGATCCATGGATTTGGCGCGCGGTCGCCAGATCTATTGATCGGGGGAGGTGCCCTCCCAAAAATGCGGCCGGTGCCGCCTCGCTCGGCGGCGACAGTCCGCGATGTCCGATGGAAACGGGACCCGTCGCTAATCCACGCTCCCTTGATCCATGTTTGCGATCGCCTGAGTTGGGTGGCCGTCAGGAAGTGTCCCCTGCACGAGCATCGAGCTCGATCCTAGTCCTCCCCCTCCCTCCCTCCTCCACCTACCCCTCCTCCTCCGCCTCCTCATTCTCCTCCTCCTCTTCTTCCTCCTCCTCCTCCTCCTCCTCCTCCTCCTCTCCTCCTCCTCCTCCTCCTCCTCCTCCTCCTCCTCCTCCTCCTCCCCCCCCCTCCCCCTCCCCCCCCCCTCCTCCCCCCCCTCCTCCTCCTCTCCTCCTCCTCCTCCTCCTCCTCCTCCTCCTCCTCCTCCTCCTCCTCCTCCTCCTCCTCCTCCTCTCGTCCTTCTCCCCCTCCTCCTCCTTCCCCCTCCCCCTCCTCCTCCGCCGCCTGCTCCTCCTCCTCTTCTTCTTCTCCCTCGTCTTCCTCCTCCTCCTTACTTCCTCTTCTTCTTCTTCCTATTCTTCTTCTTTTTCTCTCCTCCTCCCCCTCTCCCCCTCCTCCCCCTCCCCCTCCCCTCCCCCTCCCTCCTCCTCCTCCTCCTCCTCCTCCTCCTCCTCCTCCTCCTCTTCCTCCTCCTCCTCCTCCTCCTCCTCCTCCTCCTCCTACTCTTTTCCCCCCCCCCCACCCCCCCCCTCCCCCTCCCCCTCCCCTCCTCCTCCTCCTCCTCCTCCTCCTCCTCCTCCTTCCTCCTCAGCCTCCTCCTCCTCCTCCTCCTCCTCCTCCTCCTCCTCCTCCTCCTCTCCTCCTCCTCCCTTCCTCGTCCTACTTTCTCCCCCTTTCCCTTCCCCTCCCCCCTCCTCCTTCTTCTCCTCCTCCCCCTCCCCCTCCCCCTTTCCCTCCTCCCTCCACCTCCTCCTCCTCCTCCTCCTCCTCCACAATTACTCAATATGAATACACTCTCCTCCTTCCCCTGATGGCGTGCGGAAGATGGCGGGCACCCCTCCGCGTACGTTTTTTTACACATAGGATTTCCCGGAGTTCTGCTCTCGCTTGAAGCGCCGGCCCCATTTTCGGGCTTCCGCTCCTTCCGAATCGTGCTCCCGCTGCAGCGTGGGCCTCATTTTCGGATCGGTGTTTTGCCTCCGTCGTTCAGGATGGCGTTCTCGCCCCAGCGCGGGCCTCTTCTTTCTCGCGCGCCCATCCGCCCGCCACCACTGCACCGCGCCCCGCCCCGCCCACCGCCACTTCCACCCACCAACGCACGCACGCACGCACGCACGCACGCGCACCACCACCGCGCACCGCCACCACCACCCCACTACCCCACCCACCACCACCACGCTACACATCGTGACACCACATCACACCGCGCGCGCACACAGACACACACGCACGCACACACACACACACTACACACACACACGCACACACACACACACACACACACACACACACACACACACACACACACACACACACACACACACACACACACACACACACACACACACACACACACACACGCACACGCACGCACACACGCACACACGCACACACGCACACACGCACACACGCACACACGCACACACGCACACACGCACACACTCACACACGCACACACACACACGCACACACGCACACACGCACACACGCACACACGCACACACGCACACACGCACACACGCACACACGCACACACGCACACACCACACACACACGCACACGCACACGCCGCACACGCACACGCAAACACCACCCACCCCACACCACCACCACCACCACACCACCACCACCACCACCACCGTCACCACCACCACCACCACCGCCACCACCCTCCACACCACCACCACACCACCGCCACCCGCACGCACGCACCTGGCCCCACCACCAAACCACCAAGACGCCACACCACGTCAACACCACAGCACACGCACAGCGCACACACGCACACACGCACACACAAACACACACACACACACCTCCACCACCACCACCACCACCACCACCACCACCACCACCACCACAACCACGCACACACGCACACACGCACGCGCACCATCACCACCACCACCACCACAACCACGCACACACGCACACACGCACGCGCACCATCACCTTCTACGCACGCGCGCGCGGAGCCACAGGTCCGCTACGACACGCGTCCGCGGATAGAGAAAATCAGCGCCATGGTAAGGGATGGAAGGGAGGGGTAGGACGTCAGATAATTATGACGCGACCGCACATAGCTTGTCTTCCTCCTCCTCCCCCTCCTCCTCCCCCGCCTCCTCCTCCTCCCCCGCCTCCTCCTCCTCCCCCGCCTCCTCCTCCTCCTCCTCCTCCTCCTCCCCCTCGATCCACTTCGAGACCCGAGAAGACGCGGGGTGCCCGGGCCGCTGGGGGCTCCCGGCGGCCCCCCGGGCCTTCGCCGCCGTGGGGGTCTTGGCGGCCGGTGCCGGGGACTTCGCCGGCGCCTCCAGCGCGGGCGCGCCCGGGATCAGCGGCACGCACCGGGGGGCACAGAGGGGGAGGGGGGGAGGCTCCCCAGAAGCACCCCTGCTTCTTGGAAGGCGCGGGGTCCTTGTCTGCTTCTCAGAGGCCACGGGCCGTGTCTGCAGATGTGGGGCCGGCGCCTGCCAGGAAGCAGCCTCCTTCCAAGAAGCCGTCCCCCCTCCCCGGACCGCCCCCTGTGCGCGCCGCCAGCAGGAGCCGCGGCTGGGGCGGCGCGGGCTGTCAGGACCAGCGTCGGTCGTCGTCGCCGCCGTCGGTGTCGTCCGTCCTCCTGCTGCTCCAGGCTCCGCCCTGCCCTCTCTTCGCTCCTCCTCCTGCCCATGATCCGACATCCATCCTCTGTTCTGTTTAATCCGTTTGATCTGACCCTCCTCCTCATCTTCACAATCCCAGTTCCTCTGGCAGTTCATGTTCATGCTGCATCCTTCTCCTTCTCGTCTGATTTTCTCCTTCCTGCCTCCTTCCGCATCGCCTTCAATCCTGCGCAACCTAATGGCACAACGCATGGCCGCAACGAATCATCTGCGCCGCGTGGCACCCAGCTCCTCAGCGAATCAGCAATAAGACCGAGGTGTAAGCGCTGCTTGGGGAACTGCCCGCCCCAAACAAGCAATTTCCTCCTCCTCCTCCTCCTCCTCCTCCTCCTCCTCCTCCCCACTGCCCGCCCCCCGCCACCGCCGCGGGAATCACCTCAGCCCCTCGGACCGCCGGTGGGCACGACCAGCGGCCCGCCGCGACGCCGAAGATCGCAGAGAGGAGAGCGTCTGGGACCCCCCCCCCTCCACCACCTCGTCGGGTGCTGGTAGAAGTGCCCCTGGCCCACGGTGCCCCCCAGCTTTTCGCTCCACTTCTGAGCCCCTGGGGCCCTCTGGGCCCCGCGAGGGGTGCCCCGGGGTCCGCCTGGGCCACCCCGAGAATCCCAGGGGGTACCTTGGGCCAGAGGTACTTCTAGCTCGGCGGCGCGCGATGGAAATGAGAAGGAGCAGGCCTTCTCAGAAGGCGGCGGGACTTCTCAGAAGCCCTCGCGCATTCTGAGAAATGTTGGTTTGTCTTCGGGGAAGGCTCAGGAAACTTCTCAGACGGCCCGGGGAACTTCCGAGCCTTCTGAGAAGGCCTTCTCCTAGCTTCTCACTTCCCCCCTTTGCTCGCCGCCGAACCTTGGGCCAGGGGTACCTCTAAGATTCTAGCAACACTCGGGAGCGGCCAAGAGGGGGGTGTCCAAAGAGGGGGGGTGCACATCATGACCGGCGGCATGTGCGCGGCCCAGCGGGGGGGGGCCAGGGACGTAATGGAATAAGAAGAGGCGCCGTGAAATCTGGGAAGATATCATGGCCCCCGCCATGATATCCAGCTCCTAGTCATCTCGGGTCGAGCGAAAGGGGGGGATAGTAAAGGGGGGGTTTGAGAATCAGCTCACGTAGCTGATTTACCCGGCGCCTCCCGGCGCCGGAGGCGGCTATGCATCGAGGAATGGGCCACTCGGTGGGGGGGCCGAAACCAGCTGCATGCAGCAAATTTCGTACCCCCCCCCCCTTCCCCAATCCCCCCCCCTTCGTCCGGCCCGGCCCTGGCCGTCGCCCCCCCCTCTCTGCCGCCCCCGATCCTGGCAACCTCCGAGCGATCGTCGCCCAGGAACAGGGCTGGAACGGCAGGAGCACCCCCGGGGGCACACACACAAAGGGGAGCCACACCACGGCGCGGCGTGGCCCCCCGAAGTGCTCGGGGATCGTCTGGCCCGGGTCAATCCGGACCCTGGTCAGCAGGAAGCCAAAAACTGCAGTGCAGGAAACGAAACACTGCAACGCACGTCTGGGCAAACCCGGGTCAGCCAACATGCGCGGCCGCCTCGCGGCCACGAGCGGCTGGCTAACCCGGGTCAGCCAGAGGGGGTCTTCGCAGGATCCTGCAGGATCTGGTGCCCTGGCTGACCCCCGTTTGCATTGACCCCCGTCTCGAGGCTCCCGAAGTGCGGGGTGCGGAGAGGTTCCGGGGCCCCGCAATTGTTGTGTTACCATATACGCTTCGAACAGGGCCCTGGGACACACAAACAAACAGACACAAACATAACGGGAGTCCCCCATGCTTTCCCACATTTCCTGGGCTTTCGTCTTCCCCCCCACTTCCGATATTTTCCCATATCTTCTGGAGAATCGACGATTCATTGTGTCTGTGTGTTTCTTTCCCTCCTGAGCTTCAGCATAACAGTGTAGGCCAGCGTGTAACCCCCAGACTGTAAGCTATTTGCGCCGTGGCTGTGAACGCTGTGATGCGGTGCAGTCTCTGTGGTGCACGCTAGGACGACGTCGGTGTGTTGGGCCATCCTCCTCCTCGTCCTCCTTCTCCTTCTCCTCCTCCTCCTCCTCCTCCTCCTCCTGAGATGGTGCTTGTTTGTGTGTGTGGTTGTTTGTGTGTGTATGTGTGTGTATGTGTGTGTATGTGTGTGTGTGTGTGTGTGGGGGGGGGGGAAGGGGGGGGGGGGCAGGTTGTTCCTTTCGTGGATATGTTTGCCGTTCCATACTTCATCTGGGTATTACTCTCCTCTCCCCCGAAGATGGCCAGAGAGTAACCCGCCCCCTCAGCGTATTGCATTCTACGCACAAGATGTCATTAGCTTGTCTTCCTCTGCTTGTTACTCAAAACGTCTTCGGTGTCTCAAAATGATGCTGCCGCTGCAGCGTCGGCTTCCGATTCAGATCGGCACTTTGCTCCCGTCGTTCAGAATGGCGCTCTGGCTCCAGCTCGGGCCACTCTTCTGGATCCCGGTCATTCCTCATTGTTGTCGCCCCTTCCTTTCCCTTCCTCTAACTTCCCCTGGTCCTCTCGCTCCTCCCACTCCTTCCACTCTACTTACCCCTGCTGCGTTTCGTCCTCGTCCTCGTTCTCGTCCTCCTCCTCTTCCTCCTGCTTCCTTCCTCTTCCAAATCCTTACATCCTGATCATCATCCTGGTCATCCGCCGCCTCCTCCTCCTCCTCCGCCTGACCCTCCACCTCCTCCCCCTCCTCCTCTGTACGCAATTTCCCTTTCGCGATTGCGCATGATATGGCGGGATCTTTTGGGTAGTTCCAGGTCTGGTGTGACACGCGTGCGATGATAGAGAAAGAAATCAGCGCAATGAGCAACAATGGGTGGGAGGGGCAGGATGCCAAATATGGCACGAGCGCACCTAGCTTGCCCTACCTCTCTCTTTCTGGGCCGCGCCGCAAAAACCTGCGATGCCATGCAACACCCGCCAGCGAAGACCCCTGCAATACCCTGCAACACGACCCTGCAACATCCTGCTAACCACACCAATACCCTGCCAACGACCCTGCAATACCTTCGAAGTGACCTGGCAGTGCCCTGCAATCCCACCAGCCCCCTGGGTGTAGGTCGTGCAAGAGGTTCTCTCTTCTAATCCCAGAGTCAACCCTCCAGGGCGGTTCTTGCCACACACACACACACACACCTCCCCCTAGAGCGCCCCAGGAGCCCCCCCCCCCTCCCCCCAAGAGACACTGCTTTAGCTCCGACAAAGGGGGGGGTGGGGGCGATTGAGACCCCCCCCCCCTCTTTGATCGATGGACTCCGAGATGGACCCAAGAGCACCCCCCCCCCCACCAGGCCCTCACGAAAGCCCTAAGAGGGACCCACGAGAGCCCCAAAAGGGTACCCCAAAGAGCCCCGAAAGCATCCAAGACGCACCCTAGAAAGGGACCCAGTAAGGCCCCTATGATGGCCCACGTGTGTTCATTTGTCTCCAACAGGCTCCCAGAGCGTGACGGCATGCTGCTATGCATCCCTGATCAAGGCAACTCGCCTGGGAGTGCACGGAGCGTCAAACATTCTTTCGATGTTGGATTTGTACTGCTGCAATACTATTCACCATAACCGCTACACTGCAGACCGCTTCGCCAATGCACTGTGTGGTGCCATGTGATGTGGACTGCGGCATGTACTAGATATAGTACGCTGGATGTGCGCTTTACGCGACGACCCACGAACTCTACTACGACGGCGGCCCTGAAATGGTGTGATTCAATTCGCGCGCACTGTACAACGCAACTAAAACGAACACGACTGCATGCTTTGGTTAAGACGCGAAGTCGCTAACCGGACGCCGAGATGTACCGGCAATCTTCTCAGGGGGGTGGGGGGCGTGAGCATCACAATATTCGTCTGACGCCTGAACCAAAAGGACAGAGGCCAAATTCGTCTCACGCCTGGACCACCAATAGTACTGCTACTACTGCGACGAATGCTGCCACTAGTGACACCACCACTGCTACTACTACTGCTGCTACCACTGCTGCTATTGTTACTCCTACTACAACTACGACTACGACTACTACTACTACTACTACTACTACTACTACTACTACTACGACTACTACCACTGCTACTACTACTACTACTCCTACTACTACTACTACTAAAACTACGACTACTACGACTACGACTACGACTACGGCTACTACTACTACTACTACTACTACTACCACTACCACTACTACTACTACTACTATTACTACTACAACTAGAACTACGGTTACTACCATCACTACTACTAGTAGTAGTACTACCACTACTGCACGTACTCTTACTCTTACTCTTACTACTACTACTACTGCTACTACTACTACTACTACTACTACTACTACTAGTACTACTACTACTACTACTACTACTACTACAATTACGACTACTACTACTACTACTACTACTACTACTAGTACTACGCCACTACGACTGCGACGACTACGACTATTACTACAACTACTACAACAACAACTACTACTACTGCTACCCCTACTACGACTACTACTACTACTACTACTACGACTATTACGATGACTACTACTACTACTACTACTACTAGTACTACTACTACTACTACTACTACTACTACTACTACTACTGCGACTACTACTACTACTACTACTACTACTACTACTACTCCAAGTGGAACTACTGCTATTACTACTACCAATACAATTACTACTACTACTACTACTACTACTGCTACCACTACCACTACTACTACTACTACTACTACTACTACTACTACTACTACTATGACCACTACTGCTACTACTACTACTACTACGACCGCCACCACTACTACTACTACTGCTACTACTGCTACTACTGCAACTACTACTACACTTAGTACTACGGCTACTACGACTACTACTACTACTACTTCTTCTACTACTCGACGACTACGACTACTACTACTACTACTACTACTACTACTACTACTACTACTACTACTACTACTACTACAAAAAATACGACTACTACTACTACTACTACTACTACTACTACGGCTACGACTGCGACTACGACTACGACTATGACTACGACTACGTCTACGACTGCTACTACTATTGCCACTACTACTACTACGACTACGACTACGACTACTACTACTACTACTACTACTACTACTACTACTACTACTACTACTACTACTATTACTACTACTACTACTGCACGTATTACTGCTACGAATACTATTACTATCATTACTACTACTACTACTACTACTACTACTACTGCTGCTGCTGCTGCTGCTACTACTACTACTACTACTGCTACTACTTCTTCTACGGCTACCACTACTGCACTCTGGGTTGAATACACATCTAAAGTGGTACTGAAACGGTTTCCCCAAACCACTTTGCACTGCGTCTTTCGATGGGTTGTGGATTGCGGTCTCCACTACCACACCACTACGCGCTGCACACTGTTGCCAACCATTACATCAACTACGGCGGCGACCGTACATTGTGTGTCGTTCGGTTTGCGCGCGTTGCGTAATGCTCATGGGCGAGCACTCAACGGCACGCGAATGATAAATGTATAAGTGCCAACATAGAAACGTGTTTCCCTGTAGCGAGAAGTTCGGCAGTGCTTTTCTCAGGCAAGGGCTCAAAAGTGGAGACGTTGTAGCCCTCTCCCGGGGCGAATGGGAAGGTCAGTCGTGCGTACGGCCGCCATGTTTCCACTATAAAAAATGAAAAGGGCACGCTTCGCCTTACAACCGTACGATAAACACCAGTACTATAAAATAAAACTTGCTGCTAACTCCGACTACTAATACTGATGCGATCACAGCCACCCCTGTTATTACGATTGCGCAACTACTGCGCTTCCCACATGCTCCGACTCTGCACTGTGGCACGTGTCTTGCGTTTTGGTACACGACAATTATTTCGAATGCTACTACAATAATGCATTATGCACAATGCAATGCGTACTGCGCGCTGTGTGGCTTCTTCACCGTAATTAATAAGACTGTGTCTGGTTTTGCCTCTGCTGTGCGCTGTGCAGCTTTAGCGGCAACTCCAATAGATACCACTGCTGTATAGTTTGTGTTCGGAGTGATGTGGTACCCCCGTCCCACCACAGTTGCCAGCGCGGCTGTGCTAAGGCCATTGATGTATTAGTGTCGTCATACTGCATTGTAGTACACAGCCACTATGCACGTTTACTTTACGTACCTGGTACCATTGCGACTACATGTGATGCGATACTGGCGCAACGCGCTACTACTACACTACAGATAGCCTCAAACAGCCTCGAGACTGCCCTAAAGGCGCCGACTATAGCCCAAAGACGGCCAAACATGTCCACTTCCAGGACGTAATGCCATCAAGATGTTCCACATCGCATTCGTCCACTGCGATGGGACTCCTCCTTATGTTCCTCCTCCTCCTCCCCCTCACCATCATCATATCATCCACATCCACTCTTCATTATCGTTTCCGTCATCCTCCAACTCCGCCCGATGACGACTTCAGATTGAACAACATATAATCAATACGGCCGAGGCGAGACAGATGACGGCATTATTGCAATTACCCCAACCTCTCCATTCCCTTACGGCCTCCTGCCGCTCGTCGAACAATTGCCGCTACTACATGTGTTGCGCCTCATCTCAGCTACTTCCTCTTCCTTCCTGTCAAGTTGAGATTCGCCTGCCCTTTCTCTTCCCCGTCTTCTTTTCTTCTCCCTCCATCCACACCTCTCTCCCTCTTTCTCTCCCTCTCTCTCTCTCGAGCTCATTCTTTCGCCCTCCCGGTTTCTTGCATACTTCACGCAAGCACGCGTCACTTGAGTCCACAGTTTTTGGCGCGGGCACCTTTGCGACGGGCGTCTTGGCCACGGGCGTCTTGGCGACGGGCGTCTTGGCGACGGGCGTCTTAGCGACGGGCGTCTTGGCGACGGGCGACTTCGCGACGGGTGCCTCTCTGGCATGACGCAGGAGGGGTGCTCCCACTCCGTCCCTCTACGGGTCTCTGCCTCCGAAGCCTCCAGCAGGGCCCAGGAACAAGTCTCCAGATTTTCTTCGGAGGCCTCAGGAAGCCTCACCAGGAGACCCCAACAACGCCTGGAAGCCTCGGTCCCGCTGCTCCCCCTCCTCAACCGAACGAGGACCTGCCCGGACTGGCGCGCGCGCCGTGGCCGTAAAACGGTCGAGGAGACCCAGGAGCCCAACATCGAATCGATAAGTCGGGTCGGCGATCGAAATGAATTGGATCGGCTAAAATCGGCAGCGAATTCGAATGGAATCGAGTTGGAGGAATCGAAATTGAGCCCCTTGCCATCGCTCGGGTGTCCACTCCCCGTGCATTGTTCGACTTCGTGCGTCTATCTTTTCGCAAGATGAACCATCATGCTCCTCGATTCGGGAAACCAAAAGGTCCCGATAACTACCGCTACTCCCTGGACCTCTCCCGGGTTGCATTCTGACTGGGCTTTCGAGGCGAATCCGGCGGTGGCGACGAGGGCCTCCCAGGAGGCCCAGAAGGGGGAAAACGAGGCAAGGGTAGCGGCATCGGTACCGTAACCCTCCTCTGAGCTCATCGGGGCAACGATGAGGGGGGACTGGCATAGGGGGGGAAACATCGACCTGGAATCGGCGATACATCGCCGATAGATCGGCGATGACCTCCGATAGTGAATCCGCACCTTCTTGGGCAGGTTGGGCCTATCGGGTCCCTATTGGCGATCACTGGGCGAGTTGGGGTCGATGAACCCCCCCCCCCTGGGCCTGTCCCCCCCCCGATCGTTGCCCCCGATCACCGAGAGCACCTGCACACGGCCGAGCGATGCCGAGGCCCTATGGCGGGCCGCTCGGCAGCACGGACGGCGAAGGCGTGCACCGCCCGGCCGAGCGAGGCGGCGCCTGGGCCGGGCCTCCCAGTGCACCGCGCGCCCGTGAGCGGCGCCTCTCGGCGATAACTCCCACCTCAGGTTCTGTTGCTCCCATCGTACTTAAAGATAACATCCCAGAGATAATTTCGAGCATCCGGAGAAGTGTCGACGAAGTGTCGAAACAGTGCCGAAACAGTGTCGAACGAGTGTCTCCCATGACCGGACATGTGAAAACCCTCAAGTTTCGGTACTTCCTTGGTGCTCGAAATTATTCCTGGTGACCGAGGCTAAAGCAGGTCGGAACATCATAAACCTCAGGCAAGGCCAGTGAGCACGGAATCGGGGAGTCGGATCGAATCGGGCTGTGCGTCGCATCGAGGTGCATCGGCACGGCGTCGAGCTCGAAGCCGATCGGCTGCGCCAGGACGCACGGCAGCGCCATGTAGGCGTCGGGCTGCATCGGATCGCCGGAACATCGGAATCGGAGCGGATCCAGACGGCCAACGTCGGCATCGGATCGGATTGATCGGATCGACATGGGCCCTGCCAGGCGTTGAGCGCAGCGGAACTAGAAGTACAAATCCCATGCGTGCGCGCTTCGTGGCAAGGGGTCACGACGGGAGGTGGCTGGCCTCGTTCGGCCCCTGGGGGCCCTCGCCAGGCCCCAGGACCGTCAAGAAACGGCTCGGGATCAAAAACCGGTCCTTGGGAAAGGGTCGGGACTTCCCTGGACCCCGAGTTGGAAAAAAATCAGGGCATCGAATGTCTGGGGTAGCAAGTTGCAGCTTGGCCCACCCTTTACCGAAACCCATCCGCAGGCCCACAGTCTACAGAGGGCCAGCGAATAGCCGCAGAAGGTGGCGTGTCACTCGTGTGCCCCTTCCTCCGCACAAGCGCCAAAAGCATGGCTCGATGTTGCTCAAGTCTTATCCGAGGCGCGCTCAGGCCGTGACCTCGTGAAGCACCACAGCAACTTGGAAGGTGTGCTTTTGCTGAGCGTGCTGCTCTCCCTGGGCCCGAGCCGACTGCCGATGCGCGCCATGCTGCGCACCTCGAGGCATGGCACACCACCCACTCGCGTGTCCTCCCTCCTTCACCACTCGAGGTGCGTCAGGTCCTCACCGAAGGCACACACACATACACACACGAAAGTATACGTTGGCGGCGCACACGAGGGTGTAGGGGGAGGGGGGAAGGCTCCTCAGGAGGACACCGCTTCTCAGACGGCTTCGTCCCCACATCTGCAGACGAGGCCTGCACCTTCTTTGAGAAGCAGTGGTGTTTCTAAGCAACCTTCCCCACTCCCCCTACCCCCCTCTGCGCGTGGCTGAATACGAATGTGAGTGTGTGCGTGCGTGTGCGTGTGTGTGTGTGTGTAACCGTTTGGGGGCGCCGTCAGGTGCTGCCCCCTTTCCTGCCCAACGAGGCCACGCGCAAACGCGCAGTCCGCGAACACCTACACGCAGCTGTGACTCATGCCCGCTACCAGGTGCTGCTCCCCTCTGAATATAGGGAGCCCACAACAAAAGGACGTACGCACCCAACCACGTACATGAATACGGCCTCCCCATTCCGCGAGACCAGCCTCGTAATACAAACGTTCGCGCAAAACGTACTTCCGGAACCAACGTGGATTTATGTACCTGTGCGTCTCTCTGTCTCTCCTGAGAAGAACTGCGCTACGAGACGCAGGCAGCTGCAGATGCAGCACAAGCGGCGGCCGCGGACGCCTTGCCAGTGGCTGGCTTCTTCACGAGCGACGCCTCAGGCGGGCCGTCCCATTTGGTCGTCCGGTCGGCGGGGCGGACTTCACACGCCCGCTGCCACTTCACCCTGTCCTCCCGAGGGCACGATGAAGGGAATATCTGAACGACTGGGCGAAAAGGCGCGGCGACCTTGCGTGAAGGCTCACGCGTGCCGCTGACGCGGCGCCTGCTGCCTCAGGAGGCAATCGCTGGCGAACACTGCATTCCAGCGTGAACCTGGCGCCGATGACGACGATCGAACATGGCTGGACCTGAACGTTGGTTTTCGTTTTGCCTTTTCGGTTTGCTGTTCGCTTTGCTCTGCCTGTTTCCCTGTGCCTCCCTGCCAAAACGAAAACCAGAGCACGGCCGAAGTCCAGCAAAACAGCGCCTGGGCCCAACCCTGCGAGGTCGAAGTCTGAAGCGAGAGAGCCCCCCCCGTGCGACCGTGGCGCGACGCACTCCTCCGCACCTCTGCTGTGAGAGGCCGCACCGGGCGAGAGCCTCGCTGACGAGAAGGAGCCGCCCCCTCCGCGCAAGGTGCTGACCGTGTGTGAGGCGAGCGTGCGCGGCGCCAGGGCGAGAGTCCGACATCGAGGCAGACCCAGCCCATTACAGTCGACCTGTATAGTAAGGATGCGCGATAAGGATGCAAGGGCCTTGGAAACTCATTTCGAAGTTTTCCGAGCGGGGCGCGGTCAACGAAGGTGGCCAAGGATGGACCGAGGAGGCAAGGATGCAAGGGTACCCTTGGGAAGGTTGCCCGTCCTTACTGTGCGGGTTGACTGTAGTGTACCTTTCTGGGGTTCTCAGACTTCAAGATCGTGCACGGTGAGGAAGTCCCAGACGAAACGCCCAGCCCGCCTCGACGGCACGCCCTTGCGGCGCGACGAGGAGTTTACTGACAGGGACGAAAGATGGAGGAGACGCAGCCAGAAGCTCCGCCCCGGAATCACCTCCTGCCTCACTCGCTCCAGATCCCCAGGGCCCCGTAGAGAGGGCAACTGCTTGATGCACCGGGGCGCTCTCTCGCGCCCTGCAGGTCGTGGGTCGAAGCATGCTCCGTTCTGCGTTCCCTCCCGCTGCATCGCGCCAGAGTCACCCTAGGAGGGGAGGAGGAGGAGGAGGAGGAGGAGGAGGAGGAGGAGGAGGAGGAGGAGGAGGAGGAGGAGGAGGAGGAGGGGGAGGGGGAGGGGGATGGGGCCCACCCACCCGCCAAAACTCCGCGGCGAGCCCCTCCCCCCCCCTGGCCAAACACACACACACACACACACAAACACACACACACACCCGCCCTGGACTGTCAGTGGATCGGCTATCCATGGGAGCTCCCCCCGCTCGGACCGCCCCCTGCTGGTCTCCCTCCACTCTAGGGAGACGGCACCCTTGCGCACAAAAACCCACCCTGAGCAGCATGCGCCACCTCCTCGTTGTTGCTGCTTACCCTGCTCCTGCTCAGCCTATATTATCTGTCCTCCGGTCAGTCCGCTTCCCCTCCCTCGTCCTCCTCCTCCCTTCTCTGGCCCGGCCTAGACTGCCTCTTGCTCACAAGACTAGCCCTCTGGGATCCTCAACGGGCTAGGAGGCATGGCTAACCGTTAGGAATGAGGACGACGAGGCGTCTCGCAATTGCGAGCTCCCACGCGAAGCAAACAAGCATGGCGTAGGACGCGCTTGCGCGAACAGAAACCATGGGGCGGCCGCTGCTGCCGAAAGCTAGACTTCGAGCGATCGATTTAGAATTCAATGCGACTTTGACCGCGCATGTGAGTTCACATTGCGCGGCAGGATCATGCATGTGCATGTGTACACATATTCATACTCTCACACATGCACGAATCTATACGTACACATGTTTGGAATGTGTATTTTAAGATGGAAATATACACATGCACACGTATATATATATATGACATATATGTGTGTGTGCACGCAAACACATACACACAAGCGTGTGCGTGTGTATATATAATTGCACGAACTCAATCGGTTCCTGCATTCATAGAAGACTGACCTGGCACAACTCCAGGTCCGTCCTGAGAGCCTGATTAACCGGTCAAACCCGAGGGCCCCAGGAGGCCGCAGGAGAGCCCGACGAGCGCCCCCATGCGGTCACGATGGGCCCAAGATGGCCCATGATGAACCCAAGATGGCCACACTCGACGGCCCAACGGGCTCCCCAAATGGCCCAAGGGGGCCCGAAGGCGACTCCGAACAGGCCCTCGGGAAGCAAAAGTTAGGTGTTATGCAATGTTCGCATACTCGGCGTCTCGGTCCCCAGCGCGCCCGAGCTGGCCGAGATGGCCCAATAGGCGCCCAAGCGGGCCCCAAGACGAGCCCAGGACGGCCCAAGAGGGTCTCAAGACGGCACCAAAACGCTCCACGAGGGCCACTGGAAGGGTTCCAGACTGCCCAAGAGGGCCCCGAGATAGCCAAACTGGGCCCCCAGACCGCCCCAAAACAGCCCCAGGGCCCACCCAAGGCCCCCAAGACGGCCTGATAACAGCCTCAAGGGACCCCGAAGGGGGAGCCTTTCGGAACCCTGGACCCTGCGTCAGTACGGCGACGGTAAGAACATCTATACATAGGTGTGTGTGTATGTATGTATAAATGTATATGTATATGCATATACATATGTATATGTATATATGTATATGCATATGCAAATGCATATGTATATGCATATGCATATGTATATGTACATGTATATGTTTATTTATATGTATATGTATATGTATTTGTATACGGATATGTGTATGTATGTATGTATATATATATATATGTGTATATATGTATATGCATGTGAATGTGTATATATACATACATACATACACACATCTATATACATATATATATATATGGATATGTGTATGTATGTGTATATGCATATGTATATGTATATGTATATGTATACATATATGTGTATGTATATGTATATGTGTATATTTGTACACATATATGCATACATACATACGTATAATTATATATATATATATAAAAATGTAGATATGAAAAATGAATGTTTGTATGTATATATATATATACACACGCAGATGTCCGACCCTCTTGCGCCGTCTTGGGCGGCTCTGGGGCCGTCTCGGGACTCTCTTGGGCCGTCTTGGGGCCCTCTTGGACCGTCTTGGATCGATTTTCGGAGTCTCTCGGGCGGTGCTTTAGCGCCGGAAACACGAAACAGCGAGAATGCAACAAACATTGAAACAACCTATGGATATCATCGATTTTGCACTCTCGGGGCGCTCTTGGGCGGCATCTTAAAGGCCTCTCGGGGCGTCTTGGGGCCCCCCAGGGCAGTTTAAAACGCATCGTGCGTCGCCAGAGACCCCTGGACGGCGTCTTGGGGGTGTCTCGAGACCGTCTGGTGCCGCCGGGATTGCTGTCTGAGGGCTCCCCGGACGATTTTAGGCCTCCCAAAGGCGGGCCCAGGCGAGGTTACGGCCCTCGGCCCCCGAGCCACGTGCGCCGTTATGTATGTATGTATGTGTGTATGTGTGTATGTGTGTATGTATGTATGTATGCATGCATGCATGCAAGCACGCATGTATGTATGTATGTGTGTATGTATGCATGCATGCATGTATATATGTATGTATGCATGCATGCATACATACATGCATGCATGCATGCATGCATGTATGTATGTATGTACGTCTGTGTGTATGTATGTATGTATATACATATATACATAGAGATAAAACTGTACCACTACCATGAATACCCATGCGCACAGAAGACTGATCCGGCTAGACCTGCGTCCCGCTGGGGGCCGCTGGGTCCCGAGCGCGCCTGGAGGGCCCAAGACGGCTCCTGATGATGGCCCCAAGACAGTCTCAGAGGCCCTCTTTTCGCCCCAAGACACCCCAATACGCCTCCCAAGGGAGCCGCAAGAGGACCAAATTGCCAAATCCCCGTAGTAAGAAATGCAATTTCAACATCAACAACTTCTCGCCTTCTCGACGCTCCAAGACCGCCCGAGACGCCCCCCAGATCGCCTCAAGACGGCCCCAGAGGCACTCAAGGGGCCCCCACGACGGCCCAAGAGGGCCCCAAGACGGCCCAAGAGGCGCCCAAGGCGGCCCGAGGGGGGCCCAGAACAGCCCCCGAGAGGCACCAAGGACCCCCAGCCCCACAGATGCCCCCAACAGGCCCTAGCTCTCCAAGAGGCCCCAAAAAGGCCCCAAGAGACGCCAAACAGCTCCCAAGGGGACAAGTCGCCAAATCCCATATCACATCAGCCTTTTAGGGCGTAAGCGGTGTAGCGGGTTTCCTCGTCCACCCCCCTTCTTTCTCTTCGGGGCAGGGTACACCCCTCCCCCTACCCCCTGGGATTTCGCGACCCATTGGGGCGTCCAAGAACGCCTCGGCGCAAAGGCAACAATCATTGATGTTACATGGTTATTGGGCCCTTGTTGGCCTCCTGGGGGAGGCTCTGATTAACTACCCTCTTGCTTTGATCGATCTCCTCCAAGATGGCCCCAAAATGGCCCCCGCTGCTCCCAAGTATGCCCCAAGAGGGTCCAAAGCCACAAGAGGCTCCCCTGAAGCACCCGTCCGCTGCTGGCAGAGACAGCGGCCAGAAATGCGTAAAAAGGGGCAATGAGGGACGACGAATGAAAGAGACCGACATTCATCAGCAACGCGTTCATGAAAACCGTGGATCGCACGTATTGCAACACATTTGTAATTGAAATCAACCTTCGCGTGTATTGAACAAGCAGCGACGGCCATCGACGGTGTCGCCGCATGGGCGGACTTTCGGGCCCTCGAGCTCGGATGCCTTTTGGGAAGTCTGGCCTTCTGGGACATCTTGGAGGCCTCTCGGGCAATCCAGCCCGTCGGGACGTTCTTGGGACTGCTCTTCAATAACGACGACAGACTGCGCATTTGGACGCCCGAAATGGGTACGGAAAGAATGGGTACAATGCCCAATAGCAAATGTTGTCCCAAACCAACAGCGGCCGCTGTTGGGCAGGCGGCCTTCTGTTTCGAATGGACAAAAG